GGTCAAAACGCCCCGCGTCAACTGCCCTGAGAAAGTGGTAGGTGGACCCCGTTGCCGTCCCTCTGTGTGGCCTGCCTACCTCCGAGGGCTGTTGTGTGGGTTTAGGAAAAGGCAAGGCTGGGGGGGGGAGCGGATCATATGGGCCAAGGAGGAGAGAATTCACTCTCATATAAAAGGTTTTTGTTTTTTGTTTGTCTTTAAATAGTATTCAATAATAACAATTTAATTTCATTTCCAAGTTTGCACCAGAGGTCAGATCTGTCCTTTAACTTGACGTTTTATTCTTGAATATGTTTATTCTTAGATCTGTGTGTGTAAAGACGGATGGATGGATGGATGGGAGGGAGGGATAGATAGATGGATGGAAGGAAGGGATGGATGGATGGATGGATGGATGGATGGATGGATAGAATGCGAAATAAGTTAGATAGATTAGATAGATAGATAGATAGATAGATAGATAGATAGATAGATAGATAGATAGATAGATAGATAGATATGTGCATATATACATAGAGAGAGAGACAGTAGATATATTTATATTTTGGTTTGTCTAGTGCTTAAAGCAGCTAACAGCACTTTCCCATAAACAAATCTTAAGAAAAATAAAAGAGACGCAACACATTTTAAAGGAAGGCTATTCAAGAGGCAAATGGCAAAACCTGTCCAGGTTGAGTCTTTCCTCCTCCCCCCCCTTCTCTGTCCCCAGATCATCTGCCTTGATCTCTCGGAGGAAATGTCTCACCCTAAATTGGAGTCCTTTAATGGGTGCGTCTGGTTACTTGTTTCCTTGGGATGGAGGGGAATGTCTTTCTGGGATGGCAGAGGGTGGTCTTGGGTGTCAGCTAGTGAGGGCTCTTTGAGGTGGGGGATCTGGGGAGCTTTTTCTCCCCCCCCCTGCCAGGTACCTGAAAAATGCTTCCCGAACTCCGGGCATTTACCTGCATTGACCCTTGTATTTTGTCTCTGATCCTTTCCTTATTTTTCTTTTCTCCTTTTTGGTTTCCGGCATGAAGCTCTAAAACCAACGCCTTAAACGTCTCCCAGAAGATGATTGAGATGTTTGTCCGGACTAAACACAAAATCGATAAAAGCCACGAGTTTGCACTGGTGGTGGTGAACAACGACGTGACCTGGGTATTTCTTTATTTCAAATATTTTCGCCCGGCTCTCTCCTTGAAAAGACTCAAGGAGGAACGTCTCCCAGAAGATGATTGAGATGTTTGTCCGGACTAAACACAAAATCGATAAAAGCCACGAGTTTGCACTGGTGGTGGTAAACAACGACGTGACCTGGGTATTTATTTATTTCAGATATTTTCACCCCGGCTCTCTCCTTAAAAAGACTCAAGGAGGGAATGGCCCACAGCTTCTCCATTTCAGAAGCCTTCCGGTCTCCAGCAGGGCCTGGAGAATGGAATCCTGTCACCCAGAATCTGCCTTTGGGGGGGGATTATGAGCATTGTAGTCAAAGAGGTCACTTTTCCTAGCTCTGGTTCCGGCTGAGCCTGCTGATGGAACGGGAGGAGGATCAAATCTGATCAATTCTTTCTTTTTCTGTAGCTTTCAGGCTTCACCTCCGACCCGAGAGAAGTGTGCAGCTGTTTGTACGATTTGGAAACGGTGGTGTGCAAGACTTTTAGTATCCTTTTGGGTTTTACTTTTTGGTGGGATTGTTATAGAGGAAAACAAGCCTTCCGGCCGTTTCTCGTGAATTGACACTCAGTCCTTTAGATCTGGTGAGAATCCTCCAGAGGTGGGAACCAGATTTAATTGGGTTTATCTTTAAACATCTGGATTGAAAACTGAAAAGAAGCGAGGATATCCGCCTTCTTTGGGAGGGTCCGGCATCTGTCCCCTTTTAAGATTCTCGTTATCCTTCCTTTTTCTGCCCGGCATGTTTTGGGGAACCTGGGAGGGAAGAGGGTGGGATTAAAACATCATCATAACCCCCACCCCACCCCGTGAGAGGATTTGCATCGGTGTTGTTAGTCTTAATCTCTCTCTTTCAGATCTCGAAGGCCTTTTCAATCTTATGTAAGTAAGCAGGCTTTTCCCTTTCGTGACCAGGTTGCGTTGGGTTTTTCTAAGCGTCGCATTAGAAAAGGGGGTACGCCCCCCTCCGTCTGCTCTGGTGCAGACTCTGCGTGGGGAAGGAGACCATGTATTCAAATGGTTTTGGAAAAGGGGGTCCATCCGGACTTGATGATGGGATACGGACATAAACATGCTTCATCTCTCTCTCTCTGACAGACAGCAGAGAACGGAGCTTCCCGTCACAGAAAACGTCCAGACGATTCCCCCACCGTACGTGGTCAGAACCATCTTGGTCTACAGCCGTCCGGGATGCCAGCCCCCCGTGGCTGTGACGGATCAGATGAAGGTGGACCCTTCTTTATTTATTTATTCATTCATTTATTGTTACTGGAAGGAGGCAGCGGTTCCTATCACCTCCTGCTCCCCCCCCCCGCAGAGGCTTTATCCACTCCTCCAAAACACAATCAAAAATAAAAACCTAAAAGAAACCGCCCCGAGAAGCCAATGCAAGACCTGCCTTTGATGTTGCAAATTTAATCCTTTTTTTCAAACTTCCCAAAGGTTTGGAGATTCAGATGGAATATTCCAGTTTAAAGAGGCTTCCATTAGCCAACCCCCCCTTTTTTTTTAGACAGGAGGAGAATTCAGTGGGAAGGATTGGCAACTGTAGGAAAATAATATAACGATAGTGGGGCACTTATTTAGCTCATAATTTGGCCCCCTGCTTCAGTTCTCCGCTTCTGTGTTCTGTAGGTGCTAGAGATGAGAAGTGGGGTGGGGGGGTGGAAATGCCGGCAGCCGGTTTGCTTCCTAAACTAGCTGACATTTTTAAAAGACACGTAACTCTCCTCCGCTTAATTGCACGGATATCCCAAGCCAACATCTCTGTTCATTGCTGGATTATTTTCATTATTTAATAAGTCAATTTCATGTTTATGTCAGCCCTCTGGCTGAGGACCCCTCGAGGCAGTGGACGACACAGGCAGCCCCAGCAGAATTCAATGACCAGTTTGACAGGACAGAAAATAAGCATATAATCAAATGCCGTCAGAAAGCATTGAAATGCATTTGCATCATATGACGCTCAGCGTTTTCCTCTCGCCCAGAAAATGCTCCAGTGCCCTTATTACTTCTTCGACGTCCTCTATGTCCACAACGGCGTGGAAGAGAAAGAGGAGGAGAGCAGCTGGAAGGTAAAAGTCACTTGTTGGAAAACGTGAGGAGGATGGCTCGGGATGTAAAAAGGTGGGCCAGATTTAAATGGGGTTTGGGCGGCGGGGGAAGGTGGTTTGGCCACGAGCCGGAGCCCCTTGGGGGAACGCAAGCGATTAAAAATAATTTATTTTATTTATTTATTGGATTTCTTTCCCGCCCATCTAGACCCAAGGTCTACTCTGGGCAGTTTACAAATTTAAAAACAATAAAAACATATATTAGAGGTCCTAGATGGCGAATGTATAAGAAATTAAGATATGGCAGGAGGGAAAGCCTGCCCAAATAGCCAGGTTTTAAGTTTATTCCTGAAAACACCCAGAGAGGGAGCCAGGCAGATCTCCACGGGCAAGTTGTTCCAAAGGCGAGGGGCCACTGCCGCAGAAGGTCCTGTTCCTCGTTCTTTCCTTCCGGACCTCCCTAGAAAGGTCTTTTATGTTTGTACATCAAGCAAAGTTTGCCTTGAGTTCCCTTAGTTTGAGAGAGGACTTAGCTCTGCCAGGGGGCGATTTTCTTCCTGGTTGGTGAATGGGGATTTTGAAGATTTTGGTGGTGGTGGAAGATCATGCTGGACCGCTCAGCGCTTTTAGGCCTCTGCGGAGCCCAAGTTGGGGAGTTTGAACCTCCTTGGCCGGACCTGGACAATCTCTGGTGGGTCCCTTTCTCCAGCCCTGCCGTTCTCAGATCAGTACCTGCTTTCCTTCCCTTGCCAGGAGACCTTTGCCGCCTTCAGCAACCTGGACACCAAAGGCACCAATTATAAATACGAGGTCTCCCTGACGGGGCCGGCGGTGGAGCTGCACAACTGCATGGCCAAGCTTCTGGCTCACCCGCTCCAGCGCCCGTTCCAGACACACGCCGCCTACAGCATGCTGGAGGATGAGGAGCCCCCAGAAATGGAAGCTGTCGTTTGACCGGCTCGAGCCGGAAGGACGCGGGGCGGAAGAGGAGGAGGATCGGGGCCTCTCTCGCGCTTTCTATTTTTCACGTCCAGCAAGGGGCAGCCCCGGAGCTGGGAAGGCGTCGCTACTGCGTGCATGGAGTCATGTGCATGCTTTTGGGGTTGTCAATGTTTTTTTTTTTAGGGGGTGGGTGTCTACGCCATTTTTATTCTTCGCGTTCATCTGTGCAACGTCTACGCAGCGCCATGAAGGGACCTGACTCTGCGGCCTTGTGTCGCCGCTGCTCTGTCTCCCGCCTCCTTGCTGATGGGGACGATGGGGGTTGGAGTTCAGCGTGCCTGAAGGGCACCAGGTTTTTGTGGAGAGAGGCGACGGGGTTTTCTGGCGACACCTGGCCCACTGGGCATGGTTGGGCTGCTGCTCCTATCGTCCCCAGGCGGTTACAGGCAAGGGGATGATGGGGTTTGTCCTCCCACGACCCCCCCGGAAGGCCGGAGGTGGCCGACCTCCGAGTTAGCAGGCGGTCACAGGGAGACACAGTAAAAGATTGATAATAGACGTTTCTGTAGCAGCCCATTAAAAGAATTGAGTGATTAACGGAGTCCTTCGTTTTTCCTTTAAAACATCTGAAATTGATGGAAATCACCACTTCTTTGCACTTGCCATCAAGGTTGGGCCGCCTGGCGGTCTCTGAAAGTTTGGGGCTGAAAGGTCCGTAATTCTTCATCCGTGGCCATACCGGCTGTGGCTGATGAGTGTTGTAGTGCTTACTCTCTTCACTATTACTTGACCCACAGATATCCCCTGCAGATATGGGAATCCTGCTGTATATGCAGAACTGATCATGCTTATCTAGCCGTTGTGGGATTGCTCTGTCTCAGTCCTGTTGCGCCCATCCCACCCCAGAAATACGGGCTATAGATGTGAACATTTGACACCTTGTGTTTATTGTATATTTCCTGGAAATTTGTAATCCATCAGTGTAGTCCAAAAAGCAGGCTACAAGTGCACTCAGTAAATCTTTAGTCTCAGGCCAGTGAAAACGTAGTCATTAGGTGCAAAAAAAAATCAAGATATCACTGTGATACATTAATATTATTAAAAAGCAAGTGAGAAGAGCAACCAAAAAAAACCCCGCAGTCTGGACTGCAGACAAAAGCACTCGGTCCTCTAAGGTTTTTCTTGCGGGAGGGGAGATGGTCCCTCTGAAATGCCAATCAATGGTCACGTGGTGGGCGCTTTGGTGCCAATGAAAAGCATGGGTGGGGTAGGAGGCGCATAATCTGTGCCGCTGTAGCCTATCGATGCGAAGTGGTGGGGCTTTATTTAACTGACTGTCCAGCCATCCAATCAGGCAAATGACGTTGACGCCTCTCCCAGCCAATGAGAAGTCTCGGTGAACCTGAGAGGGAAGATTTAAAACGTTGGAAACAAGATGGCGGCAGTGGAGGAGGTGGTTCTCTGTCGGAGGCGCCTGTGAACCGCCGCGACGGCCTCGAGGCGCGGCG